TTCCTTTCTTTGGTCCCACTAGGATCTTCTCTCGCCGCGATGCTCTCCCGCCCATTTTTATTTCCACTTACGTCCGGATAACGTGTGGTCGCGCGACGTTATTCGCAAATTGACGCGGTTTCGCGTTTTAAAGTGATGTATAGACGTGTCAGCAGGGTTATAAACTTAATGATCGATGAGGGACAAATCGCGCAGAAAAAACCACCGTCGCGATATATCTGCATTCGTGTCACGCGACGAAATAAGTTTGCTCGCGAGAATGCGGATGCGGCTTCCTTTGAGCGAGTTTTTGTATCCATAACTTGGAATATTTCAAGTGTCATAACGCACTTATATTTTTTTACGTAACAAATGTCTTCGTAAGTATATTGTAGAACGCTCTATGCATACATTTTCATATTATTTACACTCGTTGAAAACTAATTACACGATTACTTGTTATTTTAGGGGAAAATGTCTTTGCTACAAAATTATTCACGGAAAATCTATATACTAGAAAAAGTTATACCACTGTTTATCTTCCTTTTGATCTTTTATTCTCTTAGGATATATTTAGATAATATCGAAATTATGGGTTTTCAATACAATCTTACAAACAAAAGAATTGCAATATTATTACAGTAAAAAAAAGATATAATTCAAAATCTGTGAAGTATAACCTCAATTATTTAATCTTTTTTCTATTTCTTGTGTATTTTTTATCTATCATCTATGTTAATACATAAATGTTACGTGATTTTAAATTATACATGTGCAGGCGTATGTTTCCTGTTAACAATGTCATCATATGCAGTGGCAGATGAAATAATGTACTTTTTTATGATATAGTATAATGAAAAATTATTCGAATAAAAATTACCCGATGATATTTCATCAAGACTACTTATTAAAACTAGTTTTTTCTCGTGCGACTACTATCATAGTGATCTGGGATTATATTCCAACATACCGAGAGGAAGTACTTATCTTTTGCTATTAAGAAATAATTGTCGCAATTAGCATTAATGTCATTATATATACAAACAATGTCGATGCTTACATATGGCTAGTATTATCGAAACAGTAAAATATGACATAATTTTCAATTATAAAAATTAATACCACGAATTTTCACTGTGTGTGCACAGTAATTTTCTCCGCAAAAAAAAAAAAAATGCGAAGACCGCGGAACTCTCTAAATCCCATTCTCAGAAACGAAGTCGGCGAGTCGTAACTCGCGACACACACGGCGAAGAAAATAAGGAATGTCCCACGCTATCGCGACACCGATCGCCTTGCTCGGTCTGGCTTGCAGGTGCGCGACTTCCCGGTCGCGAAATTTATAGACTGATTCGCGCCTTCGGGTTTTGCGAGTCGACGCGAGACTCCGTCGTAAGATCGGGAGCGCGCGCGCGCGCGGTAAACGGAGCCGAAGGGATCGGCTTCGATTCAATGCCCTTATTCGTTGCGGTCGTACGTTACTGAGCGTTATCTCGATACAGGTGCGTGCCCGCGGAAGATGTACGCGGTCGTTAAGCGGGACGAAACGGTATGCTGATGAGGGAAGCGGAGCTCTCGCGGAGAACTTTCAGCCCGGATGCGGTAAAGACGCGACGATAGTCTCTCGCGCCTAGTTCGGTCGTTCCGTTTTGGAGCTAATATCATCGCGGATATCGCGTTTCTGGAGCAAAATGCTCTTACTACAACGCATTTAAGTATAGAAGAGAATATATAGTGTTCTATGTAGGTATAATGATAATTGTTAAATTGAAATCAAGTATAGGTGTAATTTAATTGGGACTCTGTAACTTTGTCAAATATGTTTCTAGTCATAAGTTTTATAAAATTGGATTTTATCAAACTTTTCAATTTTTACCTTATATATTTTATATCGTATATATATTTTTTATATATTTTATTTATTAAATATATATTGAGATTGCTCTTTAATTATGTTTTGAGTTGAATTTCTTTATTAAGATAAACTCACAATCAGTTATATAAAGGTATTAAATCTATCTTATATTAATATAAATAATTTATATTACGATCGATAAAAAAATGACTTGTGACGAAAAATCATGCATATCAGGCTTGAAAATAAAGGCGTTGAAAGCACAGTGTGATATCGGCACGAATTAAGATCGTCAAGCAAGTATTTCTCGCGGAACGTATCGCCACGTGATACCCAAAGCTAATGCATTTCTCATACTTTCCGCGAGCGAACGTGCGATAGATCTCTCTCGCGGAGAGTGAGTCACGCCTAACCGATCGACGCCGATCTTTACGATAAAGGCCGTTCGTGTGAAACTCTTTAAGCGTTAAACTCCTCTACAAATACATCGCGATTCGTACAACAAACACAAACGAAATCCGCTCGAATCGGCTGTTACGCCCTCCGAAACCTATCGTTTCACGAAGCCACCAGTTGAATCGTTCTCGCATCATAAATTTGGGAAACGCGACGAAAGTGCCATAAAGCGAAAGAAGCGAGGGCTAATCCGGCCCTCGTCGAAAACTGCGCGAACTAAATCGGCAAGTTCGACGAGCCTAATCGTCGCCTCGTAAATTAATGCGGCCGCTTAACTGAAATTTCGAACGATATTTATCCCCGATTTGCTCTCTCTCTCTCCGGGCCGGCGATAAATTATAAGAAACGGCGGATTACGTCATAATGGACGTCGAGCACGCGCATCTGTTTTACGAGCGCAGTGTTACGGTAATCGTCGACCGACCCATCCTGGCCGCGTTTTCCGCTTATAAATTGGTCGAGCTCTCAATGAGTCCTGTATCACTCCACGAGTCGGGAAAAAGAGGGAAGAGAGGGAAAGGGGAACTTTCATTTCGAGGGACGGCGAAAGGGTGCACGCCAAGTCCTCTCCCGAGGGGCAGAACCACAGCCGCGATGCGTGTAATCACTGTAATTTCGGCCAGGGCGCAATTTTTGGCCCGGGCGATCGCGACGTCTCGTCCGATTTCATTAACCCTTCATTCCGACCCGGCAATTTCAATTGCAGCCCCGTACACAATGTCTTACGGAAGCAAAAAGTCGTGGGAAGCAAGAGTTGTATGGTGTAAGATATCATCTTTAATTGTTCTTTAAGTCTTCTGTGTCAAATAACAACATTGTGTCAAAGCATATGGAATAAATTATTTTTATTGATGCTCCTTATTACTCTTATACTATACATGCATATATGAATATGTTAATGTGACTAATATAAAAGGAAAATTATTTATTTGATATTATTATAAAATACGATTAAAAAACTGCTCTGATTTAATATGCTTTTTGATGTTAAAATAATTAAAATCAAAGAGCGATTTCATTAAAACGCTAATAAAAAATAAAATTGTTTTCATTTACATTTATGTAGTAAATATAGAGATACATAAAATATGATAATTTTAATGTTGATTAGTTACTAGTTGATTATTATAATATTGAGAAGATTAATGCCACTCTTTCTCTCTCTCTACGATGCATCTTTATATTGCAATAATCTCCACTTTTTTGCTTGTAATCTTTTTTCTTCGCACGATTCTTTTTAACGACACAATTTTTAATCGAGAAAAATGTTATTTGAAAAACTAAATTTTTAAACTTGAAAAAGATAATTACTTTCTTAATTATACATAAAAAACTAGATAATGATTCGATTGCTTAATCCACAAAGAAAAAGCAAAATGTAACAAGTTTATACTTTATGCTGTTAATATATATAAATATATACATGTTCAGTTATACCAGATAGAGAAAAATCGAGTGACATTTGTATTTCGGAAATGAATTTTTATTTGTTTAATCAGTGTGGGATGCATTAATACAAGGTTGCATATATGTCGGATCGACGTGGTGTACGGAAGATTAAGAAATTTCGACGATTTACGATCGCGCGGATACAGTAATGCGTCGTTCGCACGAAATAGAAGGTGCAACATATACTGGGCAGCTTGCTCGGATATCTCATTCCCCTCTCGGCGATGATTCGTAAACGCCGGCGGGCAAAAAATGAAATTTCTGCTGTGCCGCCTACGTCGTCGTCATCGTTGATACGCGCGCGATACTATCTCCATTCTCCGATTACCGATCTTATCGCGGGCGCAATAAGATCGCGCGATCACGACGAACGCGATATTCTCGCTTTCGTCACAGGGGTATTGTTCCTTTAATAAGTGCCACACCGTTCCGAATAATCGCATAATCCAACACGAGGCACATATAACTAATGCGGGATCGAAGCAATTTCTCTTTTCGCAATCTTTGAAAAAAAATGTATATAAAAATAAAAATGCGCGATATATAACTTCAATGAGCATTATATTCAATTTCTGTTAAATCGAAAAAGCTTTCAAACGATGAAACGCTGCGAATTATCAGATGTGGGAACAACTCAACAATCTCTTTAACATTCATGACTTTAAGACATAAGAATAGACAGCCTCCTTATGACTGTTGATTACCATAGAGATTAAAGTGTGGATTCTGAAGTACTGTCATACATGATAGAAAACGATAACGAGAGAGAGAATTACATGCACAAGTGTATTTATTATAAATGAATGATACATAATATATCGCTATGTAAATTTTATTTTCGAATATTTGTAATTAGCAAAACGTGATGAAATGACAATTAACTTTAATATTACATATCGATATATAGCCAAAACAATAGATCAAACTATTTTGTACTTGTAAAAATTGAAGCAAACTTATTGTCAAATGATATTTAAGAACGAGATAAATCGCAAAACATAATTATTATCATTTGATATAAGGATACTTATAATTAGCAAAACGTCAAAATGACAACCAATTTCAATTTTATATTTTCACAGTCAAAACAATAGATTTCAAACTATTTTTGCGCTCGCAAAAATTGCAGCAAACTTATTGTCAAATTATATTTAAGAATTGCAAAAGAGCTTAATTTATTATCTGACATAAAGATATATTTATAATTTAACAAAATGTCAAAAAATGACAACTTTAATTTCATATTTTCAGTCGAAAATACTCAGTGTTGTATAGTTTCTAGATACAGTATCTGGATACAAAACATGATATCTGAATTGCTTTTTTCAGATACATTTTCACAGATTTTTTTGAATAGCCCAATTCTTTAAATTTTTAAAAGACTACAAGTTATCAACATGTCGTCATCAACACCGGTTGAGCGATTATTAAGCATTGGTCAAATTTTAATACCACAGCGAAATAGTTTGAGTGACAATATCTTTGGGGCATTTTTCACGCGTTAAGACTAACGAATAAAGTCGTAATATAAACAAACATATTAATAAAGATAAAAGAATTATTCAGTACATTTTGTGCGTATTACCATTATTATGATAAAATATAATTTAAAAGTATCTGAGTATCTGTATCTACATAACATTTTAATTCGTGTATCTGTATCGAGATATATTTCTTACCCATCACTAGAAATACTATACAATTCGCGCTCGCCAAGATTGCGACGAACTTGTCAAATGCAATTTAAAAACGAGAGATAAATCGCGAAGCGTAATTATATTCGTAAGTCAAGAAAAGGAAACTTACAGGCATCGGCGGATGCAGTCCCCGGAACGCGGTACTGCTCCACTTACGTTGCCTGGCCGGGTGATAGTGGCTTCTGTTGTATGCGCTGTTGTTCTGCTGCTGCTGATGATGATGATGGTGATGATGATGATGATGATGATTGCCGTACGACGAGCGCATGGTGGGCCGGAAACCCGGGTACGGCATTCCGGCGTGTTGGAAGTCGCCTGCGTCGAAGCTCCTGTGATGATGCTCCTGAAGAAAACCATCGTTGGGGATCGGCGGCATCCTGCCGTAAGGGTGCGAGGACACCGGTTGTTGTTGCTCGTGACCGTCGGCGATTTTGCCGATCGGCCCGTCCGGCGAAGGACGTCCGGCCGGGAAGGGCATCATCGCCGGATGATGATGCCCGTAGAAGGGCGGGAAGCCGAAAGAGTTGGGCAGTCCCACGGGACGATACCCAGGTGGCTGGCACTGAGTCCCGAGAAGGTCCGGGACGTATCCCGGCTTCTTCTCGCCGTAGCGATAATTCTCGTTGCCCGGTTGTCGCTGATAATCCTCCGTGGGCTCGGGCATCTCGACCTTAATCCTCACGTCGTTCCTATCCGCGGGCTCGCTCTTGATCGCGAAACCGGAAGGCGATCTCGCCGGAGGACTCGTCGCGCCGGAGTCCTCGTCGCAGCCACCCACGCTGCCCTGCTGCATCCTCGGGGGATTCACGCGTCGACGCCGCGGCGGCGTTCCTCGACCAGCCTCATCGGTCGCGAGATGCGGGATCGTCGATGTTATTGGTTGTCGATCGCGGAAGGCGAGACGAGAGAAGAGCCAGTCGTGCTTGGATGACAGGGGAATCGCATTATTCAGACGCGTGGATTCCGCCTTGAATTGTTCCCGCGACTCGTAGATTCGGAGCGCCGCTGCGAGAATCGCGTCGCATAATCTCGCGCGAGTGCGAGAGTTCTGTCAATGTCGAGGAGTGCTGCAAGCGCATAGCTGACGAAGTTCCGGCAGAAAAACGTCTTATTTCCCCGGTATATCGTCAAATCCTCTTCTCGTAGAATTTCCGCGTGGAAACGCGCGAGCCGTCACGCACTCACACGCACACGCACACCCGGAACGGGGCGTCGTCCGCGTTGGACGCGTGGATTTCGGTCGCGTGGAGGGGAGGGCAAGGGCGGCGTGTCACAAGTTTCCGTGTCACGTGTCCACCGACCTTAAGCCCCGCCTACGATCCCGATTTTCTCTCCGCGTGCCGGATCGTTACCCGGTGTCTTCCGGTATCGACGATCCGTCATTCGTCGAAATCGGCGAGCGATCTAAAAAGAGCGAGAAGTTTCCGGTCGCGCGGGAGAAAAATAAAAAAAGAAATAAAAAAAAAAAAAAAAAAAAAAACGTCACGCACTTCGGCTCCGAAAACAATGTCAATTTCTCGCGCTGTCCTCTCTCGCCCCCGTCGCCCTCACCCACGTTTGTCCACCGCCATCTCCTCTCTTCTCTCCTCACCACCTCCACCACCTTCCTCCTGCTCCGCCTCCCTCTCCTCTTCTGCGACAAACCGCCGAGCGTGAAGCACCACGCGAACACCGGACGCGCGATTGGCGCGTTTTCTTGCCGCTACCGCCGGCGCGAGAACTCTTTACGGTACACTGCCTCGGGAACGCGTCGCGGATCTCCCGCGCGGAACCACGTTAAGTACCGGACTGGGACGGTTTCGCGCCCTTGCGCGACGAGCGCGTATCCGCGGGGATGTGTGTGTGTGTGCGATCTGCGCCTGTATCTGTGCGCGCTGTTCTCGCACCCTCGACGAGCAGAAGACACCCTTGACGACGACGACGACGTCGTCGTCGAACTCGCGCGTATAATTAGTCTCGGCGAGAGATGCTGTCGTCCGCGGCGCGAAACACGCAACGGGGCCCGATACGCAAAGGAAGGCCGGCGGCCTCGGTCGAGCTGATCGCGTACGTACGAGTTTCGTTTCACGCAGCGTGGAACTCTTGGCGGAGGTGCGCGGCGGCCACCACCAGTCGGCGGAAACGCGCGAATCCGACCGAATATGGCCGAGCATCGATATCCCTCTCTCTCTTTCTCTTTCACTCGCTCGATCCTACCTACCTACCTATCTACAGCTACTTCAGCTTCAGCCGCCTCCCGCCTTCCGCGAACGACTACACACATAGCTGCCGCCTCCGCCACCGAGACAGCTCCGCGAAGCGGAGTTCATCCTTTGTGAGAACGTACGTACGTACGTCGTCTTCGCGGTAAAGAATCGGATTTTTTGGCTTTTTATTTTATCCAATTTTTTTGTACGACATTTTTGTGACGAGTTCGAGACGAAACGATATAAACGAGATAGCACTCCGAAATCGAAGCGTTATTATTCGAGATCGTATGGCTTTTATTGGGCAATAATTAACTTGAAATAATACACGATTTATATTTGTCACGCGATTTTGTTTAATTATATTATATCGATCGGTAAAATGCTCGCAACGAAGAAATATGAAAATTGATTATATGACAAATATGTAGAATACTTTAGAAGTTAAAATAGATGAAAAACCAGGACGGCCTTCATCGATCTTGAGAATATATTTTATTTTCAATTAAATACAGAATTAAATCCCTCGCAAAACACCGAAATTGCGCTTGTTCAGGCTCGAGTTTGGAATGAATCAATGCAAAATTGCATTGCAAATTCGGTTATCTATGAATCTCATGTTTCGGTGCATAGGTTCGTTGTAACGTTATAAGAGCATCGCTCGCGATAATTCGTTGATGCGTCGGATCTAATGCGTTGTATTTAATACGAATTCACTGTCCTCGAATTTTAATTTTACGCATTTTTTTTTGGCGTACGCGCGCATATGCATATGTCGCGTCGATCCTTTTTTCGTCGCTACTTTGCATCGCTCGCACCGATAGTTTCAATGAGAACCGCCGGATCTGCCTGTACCGCCGCCACACGATATATCAGGTTACATATCCGTTGCGTCATGTAAATTGATACCTGTACACGCTCGTACACCGATCGGGCATTTATTTAAGCCATAAATTATCGTAATGTCGATTGGACATGCTCCTAGGTACGATTTTACTAACCAGACCGTCGGCGTTTTAACACGAACCTCTGTGCGCCGAGACAATGAAACGCGCATCGTTGCAGCCTTAAAGCTCGTAATATTACACAATTTACAGATAAACCGTATGCGTCGTTGGCATTTTTGGCAGCGGTTTCTTGCGTCGAGAAAAGAAGAAACGATTTTTTTAAGTTGCGCGTATCGAAAGAAATGGAAGCGGAAGTTGTTCATCGTTTATGAATTATTTTAATTAGAGATAAATGGGATTTTTTCGGGCAAAGAATCGACAGAGGAATTGCTCATAATTCTTGAAAATTTAATAACTAGAATTAATTTAGTATCTCTCTCTCTCTCTCTCTATTTATATATTTGCAATTCGGATTAAGAGATTAATTACTGCAAAATATTCCGCGATTACCCTAATCTATTTTTAATATCTCGATACGCGCATTTCTCTCCCCCATCGTCGACACCTTTCTTGGACGCTCATAACCGTCACGCGAATAGAATTTTTCCGAACGAGACTTTGTAGGCCCTCTCTCTCCTTGTTTTGTCTCGCGTGGCAGGTAAAACGACGGCGTTGATGCCGCGCAGGTACGTAGAGCTCGCTTCGCCCTTTCGAAGTAGCCTATACGTGCGCCCAACCGTATTGCGTTGCCGAGACAAAAGGAGCAGGAAGGACGGAACCGTGGGTTCTCTCTCCCTCGACGAGCAACCCGTCGATACTCGGGGCTTATACGACTCGCGGGGCGAATCGATGCGTGTGTGCATGCACTCTCTTCGCAGCGGGATGACTGGTGAGAGAATTCAATTTCCGTCGTCGTTATCGTGCCTCCATCTTCAGCTCGTCCAGATCATCCTGGCTGACTCCTCGTTCCTTCTTCTCTCTCGCTGCCGGCGAGTAACGAGACAAAGCCGGCCTTCCTCGCTTCGCCTGCGCTCTCGTCTTCGCGACCTTTCCGCCGGATGAACTGTCAAGAAGCCCGCGTGTTATCGAGGCAACGCTCGATAAGGATCAGCTGATCGCGAGCGACTACTCCGAGAGCGCGTGTTTAATTATACCGAGAGTAAATCGGACTAGATTTCGCGTCTTGCATATCTCGCTATATCACATCGATCGATTTATTTAGATTCCGTCCGGTCTGAGTTTATATAATGTAGAAAAATAATCGAGGAAGTTCCTCGATTTGAAACGTGACAGCTAACAGATGCTATTTATAGACTTTAAAATATATGTTTCGTATAAAAGTTATTAAAGGAAGATGAAGAACTTTGGAAAATAAAATGGTATAAGCGAAATGTCTTTAGATATAGATAAACTTTCTTTAGAATTGAGAAAATCAACAGTTGATATCGCAAGCAGGAAACGATAGCGACGTGTATGTATGATAGATCGAGTTATGGTTCTCGATAAATCGATTTTACACGCGAAAATGAGAGACGGGGACTTGTTTTGACGTTTCTAGTGCAAGAAATGGCTGTTATGCTCGGATGTTAGATATACGCCACGCAGTATCATCGTTTACGGTTTTACGATCTCGGATCGGACATATCGGGATCGAAAAATCACTCGCGACATTCGCGAGTCCGAGCTATCGGTTTTTTTACGAGATAATGCGCGTCTCCTTTTTACGGTCACGTCGATCCATGTTCGGAACATAGCGATTACATTTTACGACTGAGCGAATATAGTCCCCGGTTACGTAATTCCGGCCTGCGCTTCCCAGCTGTCCGATCGGTATAGTTTAGGCAAAGGCAGCCTGTTCCGGACGTTACAGTATACGAAGAGAAACATAGGTCGATTTCGTATTTATATCGATCGTAGAGATATAATTATTCCTCTTGCGCACATTCGTATTTTCATTATTTAATTATACTCCGAGTTGGCCGAGAGAAAAATATCGGACAGTTTTCTTATCTCATCCGATATTTTTACGATAGCGTAATCGATCGACTTGAAAAATTCGGTGTAATTTAAGTAGAAAGTTTTTTACGCAATGCTCGATTAATTCTATCGAGATAAAAATATTCGTGTAACGGATAACATAAGATATACGTTTCATAATTACAAAACGCTATTTCTTAATGAAATACGTTTGTGTCATTAACATTTACATCGAATATAATACGAAATCTTTAGCATTCGGATAATTCGCAAGACAATAATAATCGATAGATTTTGGTTATCCGAGTAGTCCTAGGTACCCCGATTTATTTTGACAGCCGCAGAGCGCGAACGATAATTATATACATACAAATCTCGCGCGAGGGATGTCGGTCATTGATTTTGCCCAGGTTAAAAGATAACAACATATTCCCGGTATGTGTGTGCCGAGAGCAAAGTTGCACGGATGTGTAGAATATCGCGAGACGCGTTCTCGCCAGGGTGTACGGATCTATATTTCCGTCGCATCGGCGATAGCCGCGTACACGCCCAGCCCCGTGGCGGCTGATCAATCCTCGAACGGACGCACCTAAGGACATCCTCGCTCTCCGGTGTTCTCGCAGAGCAGGAGAATCCAGCGGCGATCTCCTGCGCCGCGGCTGCTGATTCCTGGAGAACGACAGGAAGAGGCGTGTGTCACCAGAACTCTGGGGACAGATTGAGCCAATGGGAAGAGATGGAAG